GCTTATGCACAAGGGAAAAGGTGGTGGTGGTGGGAGTGCCAACTCCTAGAGTAGAAGGGGTGAGTTGCTTTTTTAACAAAAGGAAGGGTTTGTCTCACAATCCCCGACAATTTCCAGAAAATGTAAGCAGCAGGAGGCTCCACTGTGGCTGTCCGGAATAGGGAGTGCTTCTGTGAGATGAAAAGAGTGCATGAGAATTTTCTGCAAGAAAGCCCTGGAACAGACAAGGTTAAAATTTATATATTTGAGCTTCTTGTCTTGTGGCAACTACATGTACTCCTTAGTGTAATAGAGACAAAATTAATCTTTTATTTCTCTGAGCCTGGTTTTTGTCTCTGGAATTCAGGCCCCCAGGGCCTTTGTTCTTTAGCTTCCAAGGTCTGTTTTGCTCAAGGCTATCCTCTAGTTCTTTTCCAAAAGGGTGTACTTTTGTCTTCCTGTCTCAAAATTACACGGGAAGCAGTGCCAAGTAAGAAGTAATGCAAAGCTGGGGGAGACAGTATAGCTCAGTGGTAGAGCACATGCTTAGCATGCATGAGGTCCTGGGTTCAAGCCCCAGTACCTCCATTTAAAAAATAAATAAATAAACCTAATTACCTCCCTCTTCCAAAAAAAAAAAAAACTAACACAAAGCCTTCTTTATGTTGTGTTTCTGTCAGTAAATGTCATATGTATTTCAGAAATTATGTGAAATTCCTGGAAATCTGATATGTTTTGATATAATGTTATCAGTCATAATTCCAGTTATTATCTTAAAATGTTGTGTGTTACAGAAATAACCAGTTTCCTTGTCACTTCCATTATGATGAACTCTCATCAGGTCTTCAATAATGGGCATTTTAAGGTCTTTTGTCATTTGCAGACAGTTAGTTGTTTTACTTTCATGCTTTTATAAAAACAGTCCCACAAAAGTGCTTCATCTTCAAAGAGAATTTGTGGAAAAGAAAAGAAAAGTATAGTTTTCTGATAACTTTAAGATCATAAAACTGAACTGGGTAAGAATTTTCAGAACTAGGGGGATAAGTGGATGTAAGCAGAATAAGAATTAATAACATGGGAATGAGCAAACTGAGGAGGATAATTATGATTATGATTTTTATGACTTCTTGTTTGAAATATTGGTGGTTCTCTAACATTTTGCTTTGTCTCCCAAGCTATCTATGACTGACTGACTTACTTCAATTTGATAAAATATACCTTTGTAAATAAAGAAGAAACATTTACTTGTTCTTTTTACTGATCCCTCCAAAATGTTGAAACTCTTTAGTATTCTTTTTATGGCAATATAGTTACTTATTTACATAAGTTCAGTAAAAATCTCTTATCCTCTAACAGGGCAATTAGAAATACTGGCTGTATTACCAAGACTTTGACTGTAATATCACATTTGAGATAGATATGCATAGACTCAGACGTGACCAGACAGTTTTAAGGAACTGCTTGTGTTGTGTGAGTATACACACACACACACAAACACATATACACACACACATTTTAAAAAAAGAAACTGAAGATGACATGGATGGAAAGATATACCATGTTCTTGGATTGGCAGAATCAATATTGTTAAAAGGACCAAACTTCCCAAGGCAATACAAATACTCATTGCAATCCCTATCAAATTACCAATGGCATTTTTCACAGAAGTAGAATGAAAATTTTAAAAATTTGTATGGGAACACAAAAGAACTCTAAGAGTTGAAACCATCTTGAGAAAGAAGAACAGAGCCAGAGGAATCTTATTCCCTGACTTCAGACTATACTGCAAGGCTACAGTAATCAAAACAGTATGGTACTGACACAAAAACAGATATATAGATAAATGGAACAGGATAGGAAGCCCAGAAATAAACCCACGCACTTATAATAAATTAATCTAGGATAAAGGAGACAAGAACATAAGATGGAGAAAAGACAGTCTCTTCAATAAGTGGTGCTAGGAAAACTCAACAGCTACATGTAAAAAAATTAACTTAGAACAGTCTCTAACACCATATACGAAAATAAACTCAAAATGTATTAAAGATCAAATGTAAAAATGGATACTATAAAACTCCTATGGGAAAACATAGGCAGAGCACTCTTTGAAATAAATCGCAGCAATATTTTTTTTGGATTTCTCTCCTAGAGTAATGGAAACAAAAGCAAAAATAAACAAATGGGACCTAATTAAACTTAAAAGTTTTTGCACGGTGAAAGAAACTATAAACAAAAAGAAAGGACAACCTGTAGAATGGGAGAAAATATTTATAAACGATGCAACCAACAATGGCTTAATTTTCAAAACATACAAAGAGTTCACCATCACAATATCAAAAAACAATCAAATCAAAAAATGGGCAGAAGATCTAAATAGACATTTCTCAAAGAGGACATACAGATGGCCAATAACCACATGAAAAGATGCTCAACATGGCTAATTAGCAGAGATATGCAAATCAAAACTATACTGAAGTATCACCTCACACCAGTTAGAATGCCCATCATTAAAAAGCCTACAAATTATAAATGCTAGAGAGGGTGTGGAGAAAAGGGAACTCTCCTATACTCTTGGTGAGAATGTAATTTGGTGCAGCCACTATGGAAAACAGTATGGAACTTCCTTAAAAAAACTAAAAATAGAGTTATCATCTGATACAGCAATCCCACTCTTGGACATATATCTGGAAAAGACAAAAACTCTAATCTGAAAAGATATGTGCATCCCAATGTTCACAGCAGTGCTATTTACAATATCCAAGACATGGAAATAACCTAAATGTCCATTGACAGCTGAATGGATAAAGAAGATGTGGCATACATATACAATGGAATATTACTTAGCCATAAAAAGGGAATGAAGTAATGCCATTTGCAGCAACATGGATGGACCTGGAGATTATCCTACTAAGTGAAGTAAGTCAGACAGAGAAAGACAAATATATGATATCACTGATATACAGAATCTAAAAAATGATACAAATGAACTTATTTACAAAATAGAAACAAACTCACAGACACAGAAAAGAAACTTTTGGTTGCCAAAGATAAAGGGGTTGGGGAGGGATAAATTAGGACTTTAGCATTAACAAATACACAGTACTATACATACAATAGAGAAACCACAGGGAACTATTTTCCATGTCTTGTAATAAACTATAATGGAAAAGAATCTGAAAAAGGATACACACACACACACACACACACAACTGAGTCACTTTACTGTACACCTGAAACAGTGTAAAACACCTACACTTCAATAAAAAATTTAAAAACATCCTTCAAGTATAAAAACACTTTTGTAAACATTTCTATAGGAAAAAAGACAAAACTTTATAGAGTTGCCCCAACCATTTTGTAATATACCTCCAGAAAGAATCCACATATACATTTTCTAAGATGAGGGTAAGAGGCATTTCATTTTTTTTGGCAGTGAGACAGAAGCCTGGCCACTGGTTGAGGTTCCCTCTGAGTCTACCGGAAAAACAACAGAACTAGGACTTCTACTCAGGTCAGACTTTAAAACCCATGTTCTCTTCATTTTGTTATGAATCCTGTTCTTTTAATTTATCAGAAGGACATGATGCACAGTAAGACTCTAACAAAAAAGTAAAGACATTCTGAACAAACTCTAGATTCTCAGTATATTAGTTAAGGTGTGCTAGGGTATTCTGCAGAAACAAGCCCAAACCTCAGAAGCTTAAGTCTAATGCCGAAGTTCCTGTTTGATGGGCTTTCCTTGGGTGGCACCCCTCCACACAATAGTTTAGGGGTCAGACTACGTATCTTAACTTTATCTGTATGCCAACTTCTAAGATCCTAAGGTCAGAGGCTAGTGTATGGGCAACTGAAATTTAGCTAGGTGGAAGAGAGAGATTCTGGGGTATAATAGTGCCCTTTTCTGGTTCCTCTGACATGGTTCAATGGAATCAGGACGTGGTTGTATTGTCCTTCTTAATAGCATGAGTTTTAAACTTTTTCATTTATTGACCAGTTTTCGGGTTGAACTTAATTCAAAAACATTTTTGAGCACCTACTATGGGCCAGGCACTATGCTAGGCACTTAGGATGAAGGAGAAAAAAAAAAAAACAGTTTCAGTCAGCTCTCTCTATGCCTCCTGACACCACAGCAAGGCCAGTGTAGAGACTGCTCTTCACAAGCAACTGAGGACCTCCAGAAATACATGCCATGCAATCTCCACCAATATCATTATGGAAAGTAAAGGCAGAAGCAAAGGTGGAAGGAAAAAAGAAGACTGATAATTTCAGGGGGAAATAATGGTAAATCTGCGGTTAGAATCAAAGACTGACTGTCAGCTCAGCGCCCCTTTGCAGATTACCTCCTTCAGGATTTGCAGGAACTCAAATCTGGCAACAACTTTGTACCTGAGGAGGAGCTGGGGGTGAGGGTGAGGACACTTACTCTTCGTGAACAGTCTTAAAAACTGGCGTCTTTTCAACGATTTTAAAAAGACAATATATTAACTTGATAGTTGCGAAGACTATAGATAAAAACCACAGAGAAACTAGTGTGAAACACTTACACAAACGGCCATTCTTGGTTGTAAGTCATATAGAAACATATTCTGGCAAACTTAATCTTAAAGGGAATTTATGGAAAGCTTTTGGGAGGCCGACAAAATTATAAGGCTGGAGGAACAGGTGCCAAGAATGGTTGGGGTATATATGAGGCGGGACCCAGCATCAACGTTCTGGAAAGTGTGCCACTACCACCACTTTTGGAGTGGCTACAAAGCTGCTGATACTGGGCGCGGGAGACCGCCAACCCCAGAGGCAGGCCACTTCCCCAGGGGAACCCCTCCTTCCGCTGGTGAGGTGAAAGTGAGCGCCTGCCCATCCTCGCAGGGGCGGGTCTGCCGCACGCCGGCTTTAGGACCCGGCGTAGCTCGGAACGAGACTGGAGGACGGAGCAGCGGAGGCCGTCGCGCACACCTGACGTAAGCAGCCCGCGCCAACAGAGGTGAGGGCGCGAGGGCCGTGCGGGAACAAGTCTCGCTTACCTCAGCCCTCACGCACCATGGCGACCCCCCTCCAGCAGCCTCCTCAGCCTGGCGGCGGGAAGCGCAAAGGCAAGGCTCAGTACGTGCAGGCCAAGCGGGCTCGGCGCTGCGAGGGCAGCGGGCCCCGGCAGCTGGAGCCCGGGCTACAGGGCATTCTCATCACCTGCAACATGAACGAGCGCAAGTGCGTGGAGGAGGCCTACAGCCTGCTCAACGAATATGGCGACGACATGTATGGCCCGGAAAAGGTACCAGCCCCCGAGGGGCGGGCGGGCGGGCCGGCCGGCCTGCAGACCCTTGAGGGTGAAGGGAACTGTGGCAGGCCCGCTGCCCATGTACGCCTGCGCGAGTTTGGCCGCGTGCGTGGCGGTGGGGGCGTGGCCTTGCCTGTGTTCCCGCCTCCTCGTGATGTCTCGGCTACCGACACCTTAACGGGTCTCGTACTTGAGATGCTTGCACTACGGTCTTTCCCACCCCGTACCCCCGCATCATCGATCACGGTGGCTCCCATTTATAGATTGCTTCCTGTAGTTCAGGCAATGTTCCTGAGGCTTTTTTTAGAAACATTTACTTCTCACAGTAGCCCTGTGAAGTGTTGCTCACGAGGACACTGAGGTTCAAGTGGGTTAGGTTACTAGGCGGTCCACGTTCACAAGGGCACACTTCATTCGTCCTTAAGGTTTTTGCCGTCTCTTTCCACCATTTGAACACTATGGTTGTAATAATGTGTTTGTCCTAAGCAAATAGCGTGTCTGAAATAGTGGTTCTAGAACTAGTGCTAGGTACTTCTCAGATGCTTTTACAAATACATTCAAAAACAGTAAAAACTTTTTGTAACAATACCGTCTAAAATCTAATTGTCCCATTGCAATTTGGAAATAATTATATTATTGGTTTAGGATTGGGAGCAATACACACGTACACACTAAGGAATTAAATGAAGGAGCACACTGCAGAGGTGTTTTAAATTCAGGTACTGTCATTTACTAGATCAGGGGATGGGCATGTTATTTAATTCTGCTGAGCTAGATAAAAAAAAGAATAATGAGAGAACTTCGAAAGGTTGGCCAAAAAAATTTGCTTATGTACATAAAATAACTTTCTGATATACAGTGAAGTCTCCATAAATGTGTAAAATTACCATTAGTGCCTGATTGGTAGCCCCATTAATGGGTTAGAGAACTTGGCAACAATGCGTGTCGTGTCTACACTGATGCCTTGAGGAAGTTCTTGAACTGTTTCTGTGCCTAGTTCCTCATAGAACAGGAGTAAGGATTTTTAACTTCATAACTGTTTGGTTTAATCTGACAGGAGAGTGCCATATCAGGCACAAAGGTATCTAGTGATGGGATTAAAGTCCACCCTGAAATGATTCATCTGGTGAGCACATTTCCCTCTGTTCCAGACTGTCAAGGAGCTTTTGAAAACATTTTCAAACTGTATGTACCACAGTCCAAGGAAACTCCCTTCTTCCTCCACATTTTGGACGAGTGGTATCTTAATCAAAAGCTTTATTGTCAATATTGAGCCATCTGCTTTGGGGGGTTTCACAGAAGTAGTTAATTACAACTTTGAGCATAAGCTATTGTGGCATTTCTGCTCATTAGTTTTATGCAAATAGTTTACAGACCAGGATCAGCAACCCTCTGGAAGTGAGGAAGAAGACCATGATGTGGAGGCTGCCCTGAAGAAAGAAGTTGGTGACATTAAGGCATCTACAGAGATGAGACTAAGAAGATTCCAGTCTGTGGAGAGTGGAGCGAACAATGTAGTCTTCATCAGGACACTTGGGATAGGTGTGTCTGACTAATATACCTTAAGATTATTGATCCGATAATATCTGGACATCTCCCTGTCTCAGAGACCACTGCCTCCAAACTGATTTCATGGGCATGGCTTAGTCAATCGTTTGCTTGCATCTTCCCTACACTGTGTTAGCACTAGGCATATGGAAGAGGTAGAATAGGGTGGGGGACATAGCATTGGCTTAGGAGTGGAAACCTGGCTTTGCCTCTTTCTTCGTATATAACTTTAGGCAAAACAAGAGTACGTGTTCTGTCTAAAAGAAGCAGCTGCTACTCAGCCCCAGCCAATTTGGAATGGCTCTAGCCATTTGGGGATATAGTTGTGGGAGGGCCAGATCTAACTTTTCAAAAGAAGTTGGAAGTCTGGAGAAGTTCCTAGGTTTTTAAATGCAGTTAACTAATTTAAAAATAGTGAAAACACTGAACAGCCCCAAACAGACTTGCATGTAGTCAGGATGCCTTCTAAGGACTGCATTATGATCTTGTGCAACTAACTCATGGTTCTGGGGGTCCTCTGAGGTCTGCAATCTAGACTTCTGCATAAACTGAGCTAATGGATTGGTTAAATCTTTTAAGCAACTTGCAGATTTTTATTTTGTTTTTGTAAAAAAGCATGTACTATTTAATATTTATTACTTTTGTAGTTGCTGCTGTTATAGGAAAACAACAGTGTGGTGTTGCCATTAGATAAATCAGACATCACAAATAAGTTAACTCCAGCATCTTCATGAACAATTATTTTCAGTAAAAGCAAAGTTAACATGTTAGATACAGTATTAGTACATAGTAGGCACCAAAGAAATATTAGTTGGAAAAAATGATTGGTTAGACTTGTTTAAAACTCATTATGATAATTTTTTTCTACTCCACTGTCAATTCATGCCATTGCCAGTGAAAAACTTATTTTAGAGAGTTTGAAGAGTTTAAAATGTCTGAGAACTTATATTGTTAAACACATTGTTTTGTGCTGTTTGTTTGGTGCTGATTTTTTTCTTTTATTTTAGAACCTGAGAAATTAGTGCATCATATTCTCCAAGACATATACAAAACCAAGAAGAAGAAGACTCGGGTTATTCTACGAATGTTACCCATCTCAGGCACATGCAAGGCTTTCTTAGAAGATATGAAAAAATATGCAGAAACATTTTTAGAACCCTGGTTTAAAGCTCCAAACAAAGGGACATTTCAGATTGTATACAAATCTCGAAATAACAGTCACATGAATAGAGAAGAAGTTATCAAAGAACTGGCAGGTATGTTTCTCTTAGTGATTTTGCATAGGGGTGCCACAATAAATACTTGTTTTTAAGATTTAAGGCTTATGTTTTTTGAGTGTAGAATGAGTATATTAAAATGTCCTTAAATAATATCAAGCCTGTTTTCAATATGTTAGTTATGAGATTTTTTTTGGTAGTTAGATGCTAAAGTCTTTTCCAAATCAATATTGAATTTTCTTTGGGAAAAAAAAGTCCTTTTATTAAATATCTCAGGATTGTATTTATTTATTGAAAGCGTTCAGAGAACTTGATTGAAGTCCATGTAGAAGAGTGGACTAGTATATATGCATTGATTTAACAAGTTCTAAATAGGAGAAGAGAAAGATTATTTTTGTTTCCCCTAAGCTTAATGGTATCTCAGCCTGTTTTCCTGTTATTTTTGTTGCAGGAATAGTGGGCAGCCTCAATTCGGAAAATAAAGTGGATCTTACCAATCCACAGTACACAGTGGTAGTAGAAATCATTAAAGCTGTCTGTTGTCTGAGTGTTGTGAAAGATTACACGTTGTTCAGAAAATACAATCTCCAAGAGGTGGTGAAGAGTACTAAGGACTCATCACAGCTTAACCCAAAGCGGGCAGCACAAGCAGGAAATGGGAAAGAAGCTGCATTGGAATCTGGAGACAAATCAAATCAAAATGACCCAGCAGAAGGAAAAAATAACCAGCAGGTGGTACCAGAGAATAGTGAGTTGAAGCAGACAGAACAAGTATCTGAGACACAGGTGATCAATGAGGGGGCAGCTAAACCTGAACTTACAAGTCAAGTCGCAGAAGGATCTGAGTCAAATGAAAATGATCTCTCATAGGAAAAAAAACCATTTGGTGTTGGAGGTAGGTTTCTCAACTGTGGTTCTGTGAGATGATGGTGGGATTCCATATAAAATTGTGACTAAAAATACTGTTTTTGAATTTGTCTGCTGCATAATGCTGTACTCACGGTAGTGAACAATAATTGAGCAGCCCTGTTAACAGTTCTATTAGAAATTTTTCAGCCCCATTTGGCAGTGTGCAGTAGGCCCATGTGCATCTGGTTGAGCTAGGGGAAGCTGTGGATAAATTGGTGAACCCTACTGCACGGAGCAGAGGGTGGTGGGAGGATGATGTTGGCCTCACCCTCACGATTACCTTCCCCACCCGCCCCTTCTGCACTGCCAACTGACCTATGGGAGCGAAAAGCTATGTGAAATAGAATCTCAGAGTTAAATTTTCATTCTCAGGAAGGAATTTTTATGTATTGCAGCTCAGCTGTCCCCTGCCACTTTGTTGTTTGTAAACATTGCAAAGACATGGGTCATATAGGTTAGAAGTGAATTGTTTTGTGACGCTTTTGTTCTTTTTGTGATTTTCTTGTTTAGTTTTTAGGCCCATTTTTATATTTTATTAACATTTGTTTGTTACAAACAGATCTGACGGTCCAGTGCTTCAGTTTTTGAAGGCAAGGTGTGAGATAGAAGAGTACGATTCTAGGCATAGAATTACAGACATTTCTGATTAGGTTGGTGATAAATTAGTCTTCTGAGTTACTACAGCATACTAATGCAACAAGGGACTCAAATTCCTTACAATGAAAGCTACGCTTCAGTGGTTTTATGTGGACTCAGAATCCAGACTGTCCCATTCCATTGTACATCTTTATGGAATGCAACTTACAAACCTAACATTTGCTCCAGCAATTAGAACTATAAATCATAGCCATTTGATAAAGATATTGATTATTTTAATGGCTTTGGAATTCCAGATAGCAAAGCTTTTGTTGAAAAAAATCACATCCAGTGAAAAGATTTAGGAGGCAAGTTATTTAGTAGCAGAACTTCTTCCAGAAAAGAGAAATTCACCTAGTTGGTAAGAATCTAGTAGTGCCAACATTAAAATGCTAGATCAAGAGCAGTACAAGAAATTGAAAAGACTTTGCTCTCAATGTAATAAATTGACTTTTGTCACATGATGCTAAAGAGATTTTCTGTAAGCAGCAGCTTCTCTATCAGGGTTGATGAGTTAACAGATTTCATGAATGTTTGTCATGCTATAACATCTGTAAGATTTGTAAATGAGGAAATTCAAGGACAGTTTTTTGGCTGCTACAGTCTCCCCAAACAATGGCCAATATAAATTTAATAGGTCTTCGTGTAAAAACCAACGGTCTGTTATCTGTACTTCTGGTGCCCCATCAGTGGCTGGCTCCATGACAGCTTTTGCCTCATTTTAATAAGAGAAAATCCTGACGTTGATGTGACAGCACACTGCTTTCTTCACAGAGAAGTGCTGAAATAAAGAACTTGGAGATGAAATGAAGTTCTGAATAATGCTACAAAAGTGGTTAACTTAATTAAAGATTCATGTATGTGAGAATGTTAAAAAAAAATAACTAAAACCTGAACAAAGAGCACATAAATCTCCTACATACAGAAATTCAGTTACTCAGCAGAGGAGGAGTTCTCCACAGCATGTTTGAGTTGAAAGGTGAATTGTCAGAGCACTTACAAGAAAATACTAGGCCAAATTTTGCTCAGTGCTTTGAGGATGACAGGAACTGGTTTGTTTAGCAGACATTTTTCAATGCATGAACAAACAGTTTCTGTAAGGACCTGGAGAAATTTTTTTTTTTCTTAAAGTGACAGGAGTGTTAGATGAAAAGAAACTGACTCTTCGGAATAATTCTGTTGGCAAAGGCAATCTTGAAGTGTTTCCTTAGCCACTTGGGTTTGAGAACAAGAAGAAAGCAACAAGTCTCAAGCTTTGTTTAAACTCTCCTTAAAGAACTGCAAAACCAAATTAAATAGCATTTCCCTTCCTTTTCCCAACACTGGTGTGTGACCAGGTTTGGAACCCTTTCTCAGAATCTCAGCCTGAGATTTTGTCTTTGAGAGAAGAGAACTGTGAGAGTTGTAATCTGACAGTTCTGTGAAACTAAAGTCTGACATGTCTGGATTTCTGTGAAACAAAGAGTATCCTTCAGTTTAGCGCTCACACTCACATACATAATTTGAAGGTTTTTTCAGGGTTCCTCCAGGGTAAAACAACTGAAAAAAGCTGGAAGAGACAGACACCAAAGACGGCTGCAAAATAAAATGTCCAGATTGAGAATACCAAGGGGTTGTGAAATTAGCTTCTGGAGTTGGATTTATTCTTAAGTTTTAAAAAGTTTGGAAGTATTACAAGTGTTAAGTCTTCCTGCACCAACGGCTATATTTGTTTAATGGCTAGTGAACATGGAAATACAATTTTATACTCCTAGCTAGTGGTCCTGCCTGGTAAACCAGACTAGAAGGATTTGGGAGGGGCACAGAGACTAGAAAGGGCCTTGCTAGTGCAGGTGAGGCTGGAACTCCCTTATATATCTTTAGATATTTAGAATGTTAACCTTTTTTTTTTTAAATTGAAGTACAGTCAGCTATAATGTATCAGCTTCTTGTGTACAGCAGTGCCCCAGTCATGCATATACATACCTGTATAGAATGTTAACTCTTAATAGGTTAAAGTCATGTTGAAAGGTTGATAAAAGCATTGTTAAGTATCATCAGGTGAGCATGGATGATTGGATTTTGATGCCTTCATCAGATTTTTTCCAAGATAAAGATACTTTTATTTTGATAGTTCAAGACTCTGGGACTCTGGGAGGAAAATTGGCTATATGCTTACAGAACATACAGCTCTGTGGAACTGGGTTCCTTTTGTTTTGTGGAAGCTGCTACTCCGCAGAAAGATTTTGATTTAGTAGTTTGTTTTTAATCCCTTTCTGTATTTTATTTTTGTATTTTATTTGTATTTGGTAAGACCTAAGTGGGACAAAAGCTTTTCCCCAAACGTAAAGTAGTACTGTGTTCCGTTGGAATCTGAATTCACTCACTGAAAGGTTTGTTTGCAGTTTTACCGACTGTTTATTTTCACTAACATTTGAGCATGTTATTTTGTAAATGATGAGATTCCAGGATGGAAATTTAGTGCTTTTTGTCCTTTTAATTTTTACTTAAAAAAAATTCTGTCAGTTAAAAAAAAAAACAAAAACTCCACTTCAGTGTTGCAGTTTAGTAAACTTGTTTTGCTCTACGGAGGAAAGCATGTGAAACTTGGTATTTTAAAACATGTTTCTCTAAAGTTAAACATGATTTCTAAATGTTATTTTTACTTGTGTTGTGCTTTTGGTATGGCCACATATTCAGCTTGTTTTTCATAGCTCCTAATGTTTTCAGAAAAATTAAAATAAATTTGTTCCCTAAAGATTGGTGTTCTCTTTCTTTTTTTCTTCTTCTTTCCTTTCTGCTTCTTGGTAAGTCTCTTGCTTTATACTTATAAAAGTATATCATAAAATATGTTTTTATGGCAAATTATGTATCAAAAGTTGTGTACCTTGTCCAAAAAAGTAAAGACCCCCCCAAATTTATTAATTACTCTTGAATAACTAAAAACTCTGAAGTAGTTCAAGTGATAGATATTTTACAGTGAGTTTGCTTCAAAATGAGCTATGATAATACAGTACTTAATTAAATTCGCTTACTGGCTTTTGAATTCTTTACATCCCTCATTTTAACATTAATATTCTAATCCACCTTAAAGAATTAGAGTATAAAGATGTTAAGCAGAAGAAATTTTGTCTTCAACATTTCTCTTAGAACAGTTCTACTCTTTATTTTGAATTGATCAGGTACAAGATAAATTCATTGTCCATTTGTGCTTTTCTAATTAATCATTTGACCTCTGCTATTTTAAACACTACAAGTCATAAAATCATTGACTTTGTTGGTTTGGTCATAACAATTTTCATCCCAAATATTTTTAGATTTTTACTTATTTTTTGGCTAAGTACAAAACAAAAACTCAATTGAGTTTTTTTAACCAGGAAAACTTACGCATTTTAAGAGAGTAGTCACTGAATTATAAGGAAGCAAGGACTAAAAGAAAGCAGCCTTTTAAATTTAAAGAAAGCCAGAAAACTTAAGGCCACAATTTTCTTGTCAGGCTATGTTCGACCCCATTCATGATCTCTTAAAACGTTGCGTTTGATTTTTCCAGTGATTGTCTTTGGTAGTTCTTGAACAAATTCCACCTAATTAATAGAAAAACATGTTATGAGACACTTGATTCCATTTGATTATCCCAATTATCAGTATAATCAGGAGAGAGCTTAAAACTTTGGCATTGAGTTTCAGTGTCTGGGGGGTGTCTTAACTGAGGCTCATTGAATTTCTTGGTCACCAGAAACTGTTCCACTTATAAAGATGACAATGGAGCTACATCATACGGTCTTCAGTGCATATCCACCTGTATGCTTTGACAGAAGAATAATCCCTTTATTCTATTGCTTTCCCTTTATTTTATTTTTCAGACCAGACCTAGGTCTCTTCTGCCCCAGGGAAATAGAGGCCACAAACAAAGCGAAGAGAAACATCAAGTTAATTCTTGGCTTTTGACCTTTTATGAGCTGAGTCGTGGAGGTTCTGAGGGGGATTTTTTAGAAAGAATTTTGAGTATGTACAATTTTCTTTCCCTTTATGTCCTGACTTGAGAATAAAATACTCTTTTTCCTCTCCAAGTGTGACTACTGTATTTTAAAATGTCTTCAAACAACATTTCTGAAAAGCAATGTTACTGAGTTAGTGAACTGAATGGAGAAAATGTACCTAATTCTTAGGTTGAAATTAGCTACCTTTTGTCTGAAATGATGCCAAACGTAATGGAATTCACATGTAGAGGATCAGTCAATATTAATAGGATTTCAGGACTAGAAGGAAATTGGAGTGCCAACTCTGTCTTTTATATAGAATTATTCTTAAATCTCTCCTTTGAAGAAGAAGCTTTCAGGAAAGACTACACAGTTTCTTTGGATAATACCTTCTTTCTGAGATTTAAATATGGTCTCTTGATACTTAAAGACACATGTTTTGAATTTATAAGGGTACTAAGATAGATAAGTCAGGTGCTGTCTTTAAAAATAATTTGCCACCATTTTTCCCCCCTTATATGAAAAAGGATCCTTAGTATTTACTCAGTATTGCACAGTTGGCCAAAGCTTCTAGTTCATCAAGCATTTGTAGTGTCCTAACATGAAGTATTTTAAAGCAAAATTCTTAGGGCTAAGCAAGTTGAAACAGATGTCTTCTGCTTATACAATGAGTTACTATAAAGTCAAAGCTAATAAAATCGATACACTTACTAGTTTTGGACACTTATTTGGTAACACACACTTAACTTTTGGGCACAATACTTGCCTTTCTTGGATATTTGTAAGGTGCAGTTGATTTTTTCACATGATCCTGAAGTTCAAGAGTTAATTTCTCCGGATTGGCTGATTTAAAGGGTGCAGATAAGACAACAAAAGCTTTCACTACCTGCAGGAGAAACACCCGTTTATATTGATACATTTGTTTTTCAGATACATCAAGAGTTTGGAACCAATGCTGAACACAGGTACTTATTTGCTAATAGCAGCTTGAGTGAAGAATGCAAATGCCAGAGATCGCCTACGAACAAAGCTTGGATACAACTATACAGTGAGGTTTTGAGATCTAATTCTGATGTTCAGCTGAAATCAGTTCTATTGAGAGAAAGAGAATATGGCAACAGGAGAAAAATATTTTGGAGAATGGAATCCATTGAGCACAGAGGTGGTACAGGAGGTATGAGGAGGGGACCCGTAGTGTCATACACAGAGGGTCACTTATGTGAGCCGGGGGTAAGGAAAGAAACATGGCAAGATGCCAAGAGACAAACTATTTTTGAAGTTTTGCTACTTACTGTGTCTGTAGGAAACTTCCATGAGGAAAGGAAACTTCTCCCTTCCGTATTACATGATTTCCTCCTAGAACTAAGGCTACTGTTGTCATTCCCTGAGTTCCCTTTCATTGCGTCCTAATTAGGCTTCAGGGACTTGTTTGGGAACCTGGTCACAGTCTCTTATTTGCACTGTTTCTGTCAGAAAATGTAGTCTGAATTCCACAACAATCATACATACAGTAAAATCTGCTTTTGTTTATGCTGTATCTGGGCCTCCCTTGGTAACAGCACCCTGATTTGCCTGTGGAGGGTTTCCCTAACCTCTCTCTGGTGGGGTTGACACTGTCTCCTACCTCTGATGACTGGCATATGATCCAGGGATGTGGGAGGACGCTGATAGACAGCATCTGGCCAGTCCGCTTATACCATTCCTGGGACCATGTTGGTCAGATATGTGACCTAAGATAACAAACACAGCCTTGGGAGTTGCTTGAAACTTTTGAAGCTGCCTCCTTCCCTCGGTTTATTAAGCTGTGTACATCTGGAGTTGGTTGCCATCAAGCAGGAAGCACCTGCCCAAACAGAGCCAAGATAAGGAGCACCAGAGTCAAGAAATGGAAAGAGACTTAATTTTGCTAATGTCACATCATCTCAGGAACCCATGGGTGTGTGAGCCAATAGATTCCTTTTTTTTTTCCCCTTTTAATTTAAGTCAGTTTGAGTCGAGGTTCTGTCACTTGCTACCAAAAGAACCCTAAAACTTTCCCTTTGGGACACAACTCATTTGTAAAGTGGATTGCCAGCATATGTTTTTGCCACATGTGTGTCTCATAATGAGAATTACATGACAACTCTTGGTTCACTCTTTAGACTGGTCAGATGGACAGAACGTAAAAATATGAGATTGCTACTTTAATTAGTGGCATTCACTCTACCTCTCCTCTGATTGGATCTGGACTACTGACAACAGCTGACTCAACAACTGCTGGGTGCTCAATTAGCGCACTCTCCACCTCAAACGGCCCGATCCGGTACCTAGAAGAGAAAGAGAAGCCTTTGATCACTACACACCGAGTAGGAGATCTCCCCTGGCAAACTGTTATTTTCTAAAAGCGGCAAAATGTACAAACCCAGAGGATATGATGACATCATCAGCTCTGCCAACAAACCAGAAATAACCATCACTGTCCATCACGCCTCTGTCTCCAGTGACATAAAAATTCCCTCTTACGGTGGCAGCAGTTTTCTCTGGATTGTCCTACGAATCAAAGGTGACACTGGGAATTAATCTAGTCAGAATAAAAAATGGGGTATGGCACCCATGAAATGACTAGTACATTGCACATTCTATTTCCAGAAGAAATTAAAATTATGAAAAGGTAGTTCCTAGTATAGAACACAAAAGATCCAGGAATATAATAAAAAGTAAACCTCTCTCCTACCTCTAGCACCATGTGTCTACCTCCTCCCACCCCTCTCCCCACCAAAGCCTGTCCAGTTGTCCTTTTGTGAGGACGCCCACTGCAACTGGTTTCTCGCCCTTAGAATTTAATCTTGCAAAAACCCTTAGGAGAGAGAGGATATTCTTTGCATTTTTACAGCTGATGAAATAGACTTGGATTTTGTGACTTGCCCAAAGTTACACAGCAAAACATGGTGGATATGAAATTTGGACCCAAGTCTATATGACTCCCTACACCACCTTTTTTTTTTTATTAAAATGTGAATAGCGTGTTCTCTACATTCTTGTACCACATATTCAGAGAAGAAACAGAAGGGCCGTGTAGATGTTAGTCTGAGGGCAATTTCCCCTTCTTTTCCAGGTGGTAGGATGTTGCCATTTTCATCTATAATCTAGAATGAAAGAAACAATTTAGGTACCTCAGATTTTCTTTTCACAAAATGAAAATGGGTTATAAATAGTTGTGTAATGAACAGAAGAAAACAGAAGACATTCTCTCTTCTTATTGAAACAGTTAGGTATTACTCACCTGGACATCGTAGGGAAGTACTCCTTTCCCCATTGAGCCTGGTTTAATTTCTTGTCCTTTCTGATTGGCACAAATTATTCCCTATTGAGAGGACATATTTTATATAAATATGTAAAATTTCACTTTCTGTAGCTATACCGTGACAATGAAACCCAAGACCCAGTTTTGCCTGATTTTCTCAGTATCCAAGCTTGTCTTCCAAAGTATATGGTGGTTCTCAAACTTGAGTGTGCATCAGAATCCTCTAGAGTATTGTTAAAACAGATTGCTGGGTCCCGTCCCAGAGTTTCTCATTTAGAAGGTCAGGGAGGAGGGCAGGGGTATGAGAATTTCTTTTATTTCTACCGAATTCCTGCATGCTGCTGATACTGCTGATTTGAGGACCACGCTTTGAAAACCACTCCTTTTGACTAAGACTACCACTTTCCATTAAGTGCACCTTGGAATAAACTCCCCATTGGGGATCTCTGGGGTCCTTCCCAGAGCATTGGAAAGATGAGCCACTCAATTCTGAACCTCTTCAATCCCTAACATCTCTGAGATTTATTCTGTGTGGGGTGGAGGCAGGAAGACCAAAGAGTAATCATAATTCTCCTTCAGTCAAGCCCAATCGGGCAATTCAGAAATTCTGGGGAACACCATTACAATTTTAGAGCATCATGGGGGCACCTCAGGGGCTCAGCTGACAGTTCTGGGGTTGAAAGTCTCCAAATATGCTAAACTTAAACTTTGCCCATTAAACATACCACTTCTGTCTGTCCGTAGCCCTCGTACAGTTCCAGACCAGTTTGCACCTTCCACTGTTCTAGCACCTCTGGGTTGAGTGGCTCCCCTCCTGTCAAGCAATGCCGCAGCTTCTTGAATTTATATCTGGAGAGAGAGTTGCATGGGGTTTTGGGGGAGAGAAATATGAGTGGCTTTCATTGCCAGATAATTAGAACATAAGTAACAAGCAAAGAGCTAGTAGAGTCAAGTCTTAGGCAAGTTCATTCAGTGAATATATGTTGAGCCCCTACTACCTTGCAGACGTTGTTCTAGGCACAGCGGGCATGTTATGATTAAAACAAAGATCCCTGAAGGAGTTTATATTTTAGCAGGTTATTCACAAAGGGAAAAGGCGAGAGAAAATGCTAATAATGATATTCACTTATGAGCCAAGTGATAGGAGAGCTAATGTTAATTGAACATTTATTATGCTGCAAGGGCTTTCAGAGCACTCTTATAATCCTCACAGCCCCTATTTCTAGATGAGGACATTGAGACTGAGGAAAGTTAAAGAACGGGCCAAGGCCTCCCCAATAATAAAGAACTGAGTTAAATAATCTGTACTCTGCACTTACCACTTGTCAGGTTTCTCACTCACCACGCATGCTGCTGGCATTAGATTCTTACCACAACTCCATGAGGTGGCTGTTAATGATCTCTTATGGACGGAGTTAAAGGAGGTTTAGCAAGGTCCCTTTGAGTGCCTGAGGTCCACTATTTGACTTTGGAGCTTGAGCTTTTAACCACTGGTCTTACTACTCAGCTGCCCAGCAGGACTCAGGTGAGAAAGCTTGGAACAGCCCAAAACAGATGGGAGGGTTTGGTAGAACATGAATTGCGCCCATTCAAAATAGAATAGGCTTTGAATTACTCTTGAAATGTAAGATCTTTACATTCTGAGGGCCACAAAGGAGCTGATGCTGATTAGGAAAAGAGAAGATTCATATCTGCTTTATTCTGTCTGTCATAGCAATCTCCCTCCTAGATGTCCACACCATGGTCCGAGGGGACAAAGGATGGGTGAGCCTGTCCTTTTTTGTTTGTTTTGTTTAGGCTTTGAAGCATCCAGGTTTGGGGGAGAAGGGGATGAATGTGGTGGCTTAAATTGTTTCTCTTCCCTTCTCTCTCTCCTTACGTATATAATTCATATTAGTTAAATAAATATACTTGGCAATTTCACCGAATGTTCGGGTGATTTGGCTAAGTTGAATATAAGCTTCAAGTCATAAGACTTCATTAACTTCAAGGCAGTATAAATGCAGTTGTGGGTTTTTTTTTAGGGGGTGGTGGTGGGTGTGCTGGGATTCTAGAGCTCTGGTTGTCTCTGGAAAAATGTTCAGTTGCCCCTGAGGCTTTCCCAGTGATTCTTGAACTAAGGGCGGGGCAGGGGTGATTTTGCCCCCTAGGAGAATTTAGGCAATGTCTGGAGACATTTTTGATCATCACCACAGGTGGAGAGGGAGGTGCCACAGCCATCTAGCAGGTGGGGGCCAGATAGAATGCTGCTCAGTGTGCTACAGTGCACAGGACAGCACTCCATGATGTAGTATTATTTGGTCCAAGATGTCTACTGTGGTGAGACTGAGAAACTCTGGGCTGTCTTGCACTGACAAGGGGAGACCTGTGATGCTGGATTATAATTTTTGTCTGTGGTTCAAATGGTGATTTCTGCCCAAGTACCTCTTAAGGTCTTTCTGCACAAGCATCCGGTACACAGTGGGAGCACTGCACAAGGTCGTGATGGGGTAAGTGGTAAGCGTCTGGTTGATGGAGAAAGACACAGATGTCAGAAGTGGTTAATTAAAGGCCATGACTGGAGCTGATGTCTACAACCTCTTATTCCACTAATATATGCTCATTTCATGGTCACTCAATAAGAAAGCAAATATTTATCCCTTGTCACTAGTGACTATGTTGGAAATTTCCAGTTATTGGAAAGAATGTGTATATGTAACAACAGACATATACAATCAAATTCAGCAAAAAGTAAATTGTTGAATTTGAGAACAATCCCAAAGTATGAACTGATTTATTCTCCTTCTGGGATGCAAATTATCTTCCATGGTAGACTCTTAAAACTCCCTGCCCCTATATTCACATACAGTATTGACTCAATGTAATTCAGACATTTCCAACACCCTTCCTATAAAAGACATCAGTCCTTTTGAGTGGACTGATTAAATGCATACGTAAGGGATGCATTTTCAGGCCTTTTATTAATTGTTTAAGATCTGCTGGACTTATTGTACTTCCAGCTCCTTAAAATCAAATAATGATTTAGTCATCTTAAATCTGGAGAAATGCTAATGTTTACAGATCTTCTTTCTGAAGAGGTTCTACTATGCCACTTAATGTATTGACAATTTATATTAAATTTATTTGGGAGAAGGCTCTCAAGACATCTAGGCTATCTGGATTGTCACAGATGAAGAACAACTTTTGATCTGTAGATGAGCATTTCTGTTATGTGTACCTTCTTCCCTAGATTCCAACTTCCTTAGTGAATGTATTGTATATAATTAAGAATAGTATAAATCCATAAAGCTTTTTATAACACTGAAAATACCTTTGTAAAATAAGAATATTCTTAAACATTCTTATTTAATGTTTTATTAAATAAACTATATGAATATATATCAAAGATATGTAAAATATTCTTTTTAAAATATTATGAAATATTTAATTTTTATAAAAAGAATATTTTATTTTAATATCTATTTATTCTCATTTTAATAGTCATTTAATATATTAAGTAAGAATACTAATAGTTATATAATTAGATGTGATACTATATTAATTTAATACATTATTAAATATTCCTATTTAGGTATTATGAAACATTTAATACTTTATAAAAAAAGAATATTCTTATTTTACAAATGTTAGTTTTGAAACTTCAAAGTTAACTTATCTACTTCAGGTCACTTTGTAAATCTGTTAAAGAGATCCCAGTTCTTACGTTACTCTACATTTCTGTTACGACCCTCAAACCATCTCATCAAATCAGTTAGCAAATAACAGGATGAGCATAACTTTTATTTACACATAGGTGTGGTATTTATTTAATAATATGTATTTTGTTAAAATTGATTGAATATTTATGGCTGAAAAATAATTGGCCTGAATCACATTTTTCTAAAGGCTAAAGAAATTGGAGCCATCTGATTTCCCAGTCTAGCTGTTGCTGGCTGAAAAGGATGGGCATGCCTGATTTCAAGAAGAACTAGCATTACAATTAGCTCTGAGAATTAGCAAAGTGAGAAGCATAGATTGAGGGGAGAAGGAAAGCAGTTGCGCTGGGAGAAAGGTGATACCACCTTCAGCCTTCTCTACACAGGAGTTCCAATTTATCGGCTTATTGTCTTTATTTCACTGAATCAGAAACCAAGGATTTGTTTAGACTTGAGACTTCTAATCTGTTATTTAGAACCAAACTCTTAAGCAGACGCAGATTTAGCGACGCTAGCAAATCCTGAACAATCTGAAGCACAAAGAGTGGACTTTATGCCTCAGACTGTTGTGGGTGTTTCTTCTTCACTTTGTTAAATACGATCAAAAGCCAAGTTCCTGGAGACTTAGCTTCTGAAAAAGGAATGATTTTCATAAGTCTAAGAAGCCCTGCATTCTGAGGAATCACTTCTCTGTGGTTTTGGGGAAGGTAAGAGAGGGACCTAATGATATATGTAATTAAAAGTGGTGACTTACATCTAGGAAGGTGTCAGCATCAAAATGAGCCATCTGATGCGCAAAAACACAGGCTCCCTGAAGCCAGGTGGAAAATACACTGCCGATGGCAGCCTTGATCCAGCCAGTGTCAGACATATTCCATATGACGTCTGAGGACTTCAGGTCTAGCCAGTACCTGAGTGATACGGAGAAGCAACAAGAGAGACCAAACCAAGCCAAACAAAAATAAAACATAAAAGCGCAAAAGCAAACAAGTCAGTGTCTTTCAGGAGTGAACTTGCCCCAGAAGCTCAATAGCCACAGAGAAGAGTCACAAGAAGCCTCACGGCAGGTGAGGCATTCTACCTCCCACTCTTGTTGGAGGAGTTTTTCAGAATCTTGGGTGGTCTGAGAGTGAGGTGGGAGGCTGGGTTTGGCGTGATTTTCTGAGTTCGTCCATTGACATGACAAACATTTAGTGAGCAAATATTAAATGATAAGCACTGTTCAACAGTAGTGAACAAGATAGACCAGTTCTCTGCCTTTATTTCAAGGAGATAGATAGTGAATGAGCATACAAAAAGATGCACATATAAATAAATATCATAATTTCAAATAGTGATGAGTGCTGTGAGGAAAAGAAAACAATGTGATAGTTTTAGGATATCTAGGAAGGCCTTTCTGAGTTGGTAAATTTACTTGGCAAAAAGGAGAAGGAGCCAGACTTGCTGTTGTGGGAACTGAATCAAGGTCAGCCCCTAAGTTCTTGCTTGATCAGTTGGTTAGATGGTGCCATTTATTGAGCCGAGTTTGGGTAAGGGACATGAAGAGTTTTGTTTTGTAGATGTTTTGTTAGAGATATCTAACAGCCATCCAAGTAGAGGGGCCAGCGAGGCAACTGGATGCACATGTTGGCAGCTCAGGGGAGAATTTAGTAAAAACAGTGTTTTCCTCCCTACCTTCCACAGAGGGTGTACCCAATTCCAAGGCTGCTCTGAGAGTGCTGGGCCATCTTGGGCGAGCCTGTGGTCCCACTGGTGAAATAAATGGCCATTGGTTCTTGACTTCCTGTCTCCACACAGCTGTGCTCTGCAGGGGCAGTTCTGCAAAATATGGACCCCAAGATGGTGGCTGAACATGGCAGACCAGTTTAGCTCTGATATTTCTTTTCCTCTGCTACTTCTTTCCTCTTGATACCAGAAGATAGTTAATAGAACAGAATCTAGTCCAAAGTATCCCTGAGAGAAATTTCTCAAGAAATCTTAGAGGAATTTTGCAGATCAGTGCTAAGATTGAACAATTCATAACTCTCTCTCTCTGTCTGTCTTATTTTAAAGTTCCACCTCCCTATAGGCCAAATAGACAGCCAAGATAATTTTCAATGTCAATAACAACAAAAAAGTTTTTATTTATTTAAACATTTTCCCCTAAGTGCCTTTTTAAAAATCTATAAATTTTTAAAAATCAGTATTGAATCTTTTAAGTTGTTAATAAGATTTCAGGAGTTTTTATGACTTAAAGGAAGATCTTTTGGTATTTGAATCAAACTTATTAATACTTTTTATTCAATATCTTCAATATTACTGGCAGACACAGTTGCTTACCAAATAGCATCCCATTGTTCTTCCTTGAACTGATAATACTCTGTTCTGGTGTCAGGCAGTCATGTGCTTCAGGGGAGACTTTCCTAAATATCTCCACGGGGTGAATCTTGACTAGTTTAAGCCCATCATGGTAATTTCTTCCCTTACCAGCTATTGGGTAAGGAATGAGAACGTGATGCGGTTATGTGAGAGATTTAAGGGCTTTATGGAACATTTTCTTGTTCTGAAAAGAGTCACAAAGGAGGAATACTGCCTTCTCACGTCCCACCCATCTTGTTTTCTGGCCTTTGGATGTTGTTGTGAAAGTACATGATGTCTGGAACTATCCTTAGCCATGTTGGGACCACAAGGGAGATTATCATCCTCACTGAGGATGGCATGGCTGAATCTGGGCCCACTGCTAACTTCATGAAACCTCTGATTCAATCATCTCCCATCCCACTCTACCTCTGTGCTTCTGATTTGTGATACAATAAAATCGTTTATATTGTTTATGCCATGTTTACTTGGGTCTTCTATAGCTGAAGCCAAGAGCATTTTAACTGATAATAATATCTGTGTAAGACTGTCTTTGTAGACAGCCCCAACCGATTCCTTCCATCCCTGTACAAGCATGCCACTCCCTCCTTGAGGGGTGGAGACTGTGTCTTCTCTCCTTGAATATGGGCTGGCCTGAAGACTTGCTTTCACCAACAGAATCTGGCAGAAGTTCTGCGGCTTCTCAGTACAAGCCTCAAGAGAGATTTCAGGTTTATTGGAGATGCAGCCATCATATAAAAATGTTCATACTGTCCTGCTAGAGAGAGAGCGCCCACGTGGGACAAGTGAGCTGTTTAGCTAACGGCCAATACCAAAGCCTCAAACCTGTGACCAAACCCGCTTGGATCCTCCAGCTCCAGTCAAGCTGATGGAGACACAAGCTGCCTCTCCTGGCATGAACTTCTAACCTACAGAACCACGAGCAAGTGAAATGTTTACACCACTAAGTTCTGGGTTGGTTTGCTACTCAGTATTGGATAACTGGTAAAGCACCTAAGAATTTTTGAGACTCATGTATCACATCGTTAACATCCCAGGTTGAAGGAATCAGGGTTGAGGAGACCATTTTAAATTCATCTTGATGAGGAGTGAATAAGACGGTCATTGAATCTGTAAAACAGTGAGGCTTAACTATATAAACACATACTATATTATCAAACATAGTTTCATGAAATATTAATTTCTTGGTAACTTGCCTCCTCCTCCCCCTCCCAAATAAAAAGAGATCATTCAATTGTATTGATTTTTTTCAGTGTAAATATAGGGAGAAGTTGGTATGTGTTGGGCTGGAGAAAGGGGGATTTCTTCACAGTATCTAATACAAACAAACAGATGAAAAACCCAACTCTTATATTTGAATGCTTCTCAGTCCAGTATGGAAACATTTTCTATAAGACTTTTCATTTTTTCCTTTTACTAAACAAGAAGACATTACAGTCTGTGAGTGACAAGGTTTTAAAGCAGTGTTTCTTCTATTGTCTGACTTCTCTCTCTCTCTCTCTTTGGATACCTGAGTTACATCTTTTTGGATTTTTTTTTCTTTGGTGTGTGCCCTTCCCTCAATCCCATTTACCAGAGACAAGAGTTAGAACCTCATCCTCTTTCCCCTAGATTAGCCAGCAAGATGGTCTCTCTGATTCCGGTTTAGGTCTTCTCAAGTTTATTTTTTATATAGTTGCCAGAAAAATATACTTAAAACCCCAAACGGACCTTGACACGTCCCTCTTAAAACTTGTCATTGGCTTCCCTTGTTTATAGGGTCAAGTGAAAGATTTAGTATGTGTGTCAGGTTTTCATACGGGAGGCCATCATCTGGCGTCTGCTTGCTCCTCTGCCCTCCACTCAACCTCGTGTTTTCCTCTCTAGACACCCAGAACTGTTCGCTTGTCCATACCCTGCACACCTTAGGAATGTTTTACTCCCGTATTTTTGTTCATGCTGTTCTTCTGCCTGGAACACTATTTCAGTCCCCTCAAGACCAGAAACCAGGATTCTAGACCTTCAGGAAAGGGCCCTTTTCATTAGAATAGGAAAAAAGAAACATCAGTCTGACCCATAATTTTGACATTTTCCCCATCTCATTATAAATATTCTGGAACCTATTCACAGACTTCTATCCTTGGAAGGCAGAAGGAAGGTGAGAGGCCTTAAAATGAACTCCTAGGAGACTGACACTAACCAAGCAAAATTAGCCCTCGTTACTGCTATGTGTGGTTTTCTGAGAGACTGGCCAGCTATTGGAAATGACAGCTCCTTTCCTTAGGTTTTAGAGAAAGAACCCATGGCTTATTTTGAGTTGGGATCCTCCAATGTTGTTTATTTGAAGTGGGGACTCCCCTTATCTTGAAAATTATCCCCCAAATGTAGAAATTTGGATTTGAAATTCACGTGGGTTCAAAGTCCTTTGCTTTTTGTGAATTTTGTGGTAACTTTAAGATTCCTGGGGACTCAGCAGAACACTGCCGAGTTGTTCAGGACAGGGGTCTTAGAAGTGGGGGTGCCTGCTGCCCAGGGGACATGCAGGACAACTGGGATGGAGAAGAAAATAGAAGAACTTCAAACTATATGTATTTTTTAATTCATTCGTTAAAATGTTTATTTTTGATATGTGAACGAAGCACTAAAGTACATGTATATAAGGTATAAATAAATCTACACGTATCAGAGGAATGTGTTAAAAAATATTTTACTGAGTTATGTGCATTTTCAATCTGGATACCACTACCCTTAGGAAATCACTGCACTGCTGAATGACTTTATTAACTTGAGGATAATAATAGTAATGATAATTATTGTACTGTTTATGGAGTGATTAGTCTGTGTCCGGCATGTGCTCAGCACTTCACATGCTTCATCACATTTGATTCTTCTATAACCCCATGAGGTAGATACCATCCTAATCCCCATTTTATGGAAAAGACACAGAGTTTCAGAGATGTTACTAGACTTACTCAAAGTTACACAGTTTATAAAAGACACAAGCAGGATTCACTGGCATAGCCCTGGAGAGAATTCTGGGATTGGCCAATAGGATTTGGTTTACATTAATTAGTAGGATAAAATTTCATTCCAACAAAGGAAACTGCATTTATTGAGGGTTTTATGTCTTCTTTCTATAAACTTCTCTGGAGGAATTTTTTAAAAACAACATGAGCATTTAAACATTTCTTTGAAGGACAATACCATAACAACATTTGACTTCTTTTTAAAAAAAAATAGTTTAGGAAGGACTTTCTCACATATTAGTTTATTTTACCCTCAAAACAACACTTGAGATATGTGCTGCATAATTATCCCCATTTTACATATAAGGAAAACTGAGGTTAAGTGATCTATTTTGTTTATTCATTCATCAGTTAGTATTTGTTAAGCCCCAACTAAATGGTAGGAACTGGGGATAGACTGATCAATCAGACAGACAGATAGTGCCTCTGCCTTCTTGGAGCTTACAGTTTGGGAAAGGGGTTGGCAAATTTTTTTCTTTAAAGGACCAGAGAGTAAATATCTTAGGCTTTGTAGGTCATAGGTTCTCTGCTACAACTACTCAGTTCTACTCTTGTAAGATGAGAGCGGCCATAGACAATATGTAAAAAAAAATGAGTGTGGCTTGTGGCTGTGTTCCAATAAAACTTTATTTATAAAAAGGAATGCCCAGCCAGAATCAGCCCATGGGCCCTAATTTGCTAACCCGTACTGTAGAGGATAAAAATAGATGGCAAATAAAGGAATAAATGAATGGATATGATATTTGGATACTGATGTACTATGAAGAAAACAATAGGATGACGTGATAGAGAGGCTTGGAACTCTACTCTTGATAGGGCGGTCAGGGACAGCCTCGCCGAGGAAAAAATGTTCAAGCTGAAATCTGACAGGAAGGAGTCAACTGTGAAAAGGACTGAGGAAGAGCATTCCAAGTGGAAGACATAGCAGGTGCAAAGGCCCTGAGGTGGGCCATGTTTGAGTAATAAAACGGAGGCCAGAGTTATGCAAAGGCCTTGCCAGGCAGGATGCTCATCTCAGTCCACAGAAGGAAGCCGGAAAATGGAAGCAGAGCTACATCCCCTTTCTCTGTCCTTAAAAACCTTTTATTAGGTGATTTTTTTCTGGGAAGGAGCCTACATCAACCCACAGTATGCTGAGTCCTTGGAGGCAAGGAGACTCTGAGATGTAGTTGTGATTGGTGTTACTGCTGGTACTGCGGATAACGTAGGGCAAAATACTCACTGAAGTAACTCTTGGAAGCTGTGCCACCCACTCCTGTTGTGTGGGGACACCAGGAGTTTGGTCTTCAAGTCTGGACACTCTGACACGATGGACTCCACTGCCGGGATCACCTCCTCGCTGGTCACAATGCACTTGGCCTTGGATGCTCGCAGCCGATAGAGGATGTCTTTTGCTGTCAACTGGGTTGTTCCCGGCATGAAGACAAGCCCTGGGAAACGAGAGGGCCCTGAGCTGAACAGAACTGTTGAGCATTAAGTAAGACTAGGGACTATGGAAACTTGGGCTTTGTGCCTGGGTGGGGAGGAGTTTCAGAAATGAGCCTTCAGCTTCCCTTGCCTTGGTCCCAGGGATGTCTCAAAGGATGCTGTTCACTGGGACATCCTTAGAGCACTGGCTTCAGACTCTGACAGTCTCTGGCTCTAATTCTGTAAGTCCCAATTCCATACCTTTCTAGCTGTGTGACTCTGGGCAAGCTTCTTAACCTCTCTGAACCTCAGTTTCCTCTCTTCCAAAATGAACATCACAATAATATTTACCTCTTACAGTAGTTATTATTATTATTGCATCAGGATTGCTTCTAATTTCAACTCTTATTTTTCTGTCCTTTGAAATCATAGCTTCAGTCTGAATGAACAATTCAGAAAAATCTCAACTTGGTCTCTGTTTCTGAAAGATTTAGAAATGTTAAATATTAGCACTGACCTGTTCTCATACAAGCCACGATTATGAGCCACCATTCTGGGATTCTGGGCAGAATCACGGCCACTCTGTCTCCTCTCTCTAAGCCACAGGGCTTGGTGAGCACATTGGCAGCCTTTCGGGACAAGGAGCCCAATTCTCCAAAGCTCCACTTCACCTCGTCCTCTTTGCCGTTCACCCACCACAGGGCTGGGCTGGCCGGTCTCTCTCCTGTCTGGGCATGCATGAGCACATGGGGAAGAGAGGAGACGTGACTATGAGTGGTCACCAAATAGACAGGACATTTGTCATGACTTCCCAGTAACAGCACCCCAGTTTGCCCTTGTGGGGACTGCTGCTCTCCGCTTGAACACAGCCTTGGTGAGACAAACCCTGAGGGTTCTCATCCTTCCCTGATCAGCCAAGTTGGGCCAATCACACCTTCTCTCCCTGATTTTGAGTTTTCTGAGAAGAAGCAAAAGATGGAAAATGATTGAAGCAAAACCTTTCCCTGGGCTCTTGGTACCTATGCCTCCGTCCTGGTTCCTGTCCACGCTAAGCCTCCAGCTTTCAACCCAATTTTGCAAGTGATCCCATAACCTCCCAATAAATTTCTTTCTTGCTTAGGATAGATTCTGACCCATCCCCAAACCCTGATGGATGTGAGCGAGGTGATTAGGTAGGTTTGCTGACCCCGGCTGATTATCAATAAGGAGAAGAAAGTGCCAGGCTGTTAAAAATCGGGATGTTTCTCTTATCCCACCGCTGATTCCTTGGTTCCAAGGACATGGCTGTATCATAGGATGTTTTATGTTCCATTAAGGCAGTTCAGCGGCTGCCTTAATCCCAAGGACATAACCCAGTACCTCTTGCTTTGTTCTCTTTCCCACCGAAGTTTCTGTTCAAGGGCTGAGCTCCGCAGGAGGAAAGAACCCATAACAAGAAGGTGACTGGCTTTCCCACCACTGAAATAAAGATGATGATGGCAGAGGACTCCAGTAAAAGACCTCATGGCCCAATGAGGGGGTGGGAGTGTAGGGCTGTTTCATCCGGCGACCTGGTTGGCAGCTCCCCTTTCAAGCGTTCTCCTTTTCCCTGTCTCTCTTCCTTTTGAGCAGTAAAGCAGTTTTTCCACTTTGTTTCTCTGCCTCTGCTGAGAATCCCTTCTCAACTGACAAGCATGGACCCATGCTTTCACTGGGCTTCCTACTTCCGGCATCTCTTTATCCACTAACAGATGTACTGAGTAAGAACTTATCTTCTTTCACCCAAAAGGCTGACGTATAGGTTTTATAGGTAACAAAGAACAAGTTGGAGGGCCTTTGGGGGAGGAGCATCAACTTAATTTATTTCTAGAGGAAGCTGATACAAAGTGAGTCTTGTGTCCTGCGAAAACTCTGCTTTATGTATTACCTGGGAGGGGGGAAATTACTCCCCCTTTCTTCCTCTATCTGGAATGTTCTTTTTACCTTCCCTGGTTGGAAAATATTTCAAAGCCCAATTTCCATTTCCCTTCCTCTGTGAAACCTTTCTTAGCACCCCCCCACTTCTCCTCTGCAACGTCTCTGTGTCCCTGCAGCATTGTGCTCACATCTGAGGCGACTCCGTCACATGCACAGTACGACAGATGCGTCCCTGTCCTACGGATGAAAGCTTTGTAAGATCAAGAGCTGGTTCATTACTTCTGGAACTGGTGACCTTGGATGACTTCTATAAGGTTAAGTTCCTTATCTGCAACCTCCCAGGGTGGAGATGGGGATTTGATGAAATAATATACAGGTTAGTATTTCTCAATCTTTAGTCATTTGAGTATCACCATTTTGCCAGATCTTTCTACACCTGTACTATCATTCTTTGTATTTTTCTTCACATCAACTCACTTTTACTTGTGTGCATTTACTTAAGAAGATTAAAATGCATTTAATTATCACCGTAATGGGAAAATCAGTACCCCTTGCTAATAATGGGTTACTGAAAAATAAATATCTATACTGAAAACACAATATGTTCTTAAATTTCGTCTAGAGATTTTCAACTTCAATTTGCTCTTTCTGTTCAAAAGAGAGTTTAGCAAGTGTAAGGGAACTGTTAATGATAATGGATTTAAAGGGAGACTTTCCCCTCTGTTTAATAGGAAGCATTGATTCGACATTATTTAATACTTCGGATATCTAGTATATTTTCTGAAGCACCGATAGGTAAAGTGTTTAGCTCAGTGCCTGGCAGGGGGTGGCAGTCAGTAAGCAGGGACCTTGACCTGGGGCTGCACTAAACACTTTGTAAGGCTTATCGTGTTATTCTTCTCAACCTCTGCTTCTCTCCGATTGCTCCAACAATGACTATTCATAAAACCAAAGCTCAAATGACTGCTTTTTGGTAAGCCGGTGACCAGCCCAAACAAATGATTCAAGAGCAGAGAGCTGCTATGTGCAACTTGGAGAAAACAAAGGGAAAGAGGCAAAACTGTGTGAGTGACTATGATGAGGGGGACCAAGGAGGTTCCAGAGAAAGACAGCCCTTCGTAGTTAAGGATCAAAGATCTTCCCTGGGGAGAGACGAGGGCAACTAGAAAACAAACAAAGGAAACCAAGAGGGATGAAAGAATCAAATTAAAAGTGGATCACAGAACAAGGAAATAGAAGGCTGAGATACAGGTGGACACCAAGCATTTGAGGGAAGCCCATCATGTACCTTCTCTTTTCGGGACCACTGGTCCAGCACATCCCCAGCAAAGTTAAAGTTCTTAGGCAGTGATCTCTCACAGCGATTTATGGCTTCAAAGTCATCCAGAGTTAGAGGCACCCAAAGCTGGTGATCTCTGTGAAAGCACCGGCCAGATGGCTTGGTGAGCCAGATGAGTCTGAGCATCTGGGAGCGGAAAAAAATCTTCATGATTCTCGAAGAGCTTTGTCAGCGTATATGGATGTGGAAGTACTGCCGTCTGTGGGGAAAGATGGGTGGGGAGTGTTAGCCTCTCCCGGTGCTCTGTGGTGCGACTGGGAAGTGTACTGGTAGCTGTGTGCCCCCAGGAAGCTGTGGAACACCTGAGAAACACCCCATCCTTCTTCATCGTTGAGCCAGTTAGCCACTGACCAGTCTCATTGCCACCAGACTCTCCCTCAACATTCTGTCCATGACCAGGTTAGTCTTAAAAACACAACCCACAACTATAGAGTCAAGCTCCCATCTTCTGTCCCTACCTTTCCCCCAACCAAACCATGGTTGAAAAGAACACTTGCTGCCTGGATTGACATTCAAGGCCTCCATCTGTCTGCCTCTGACTCTGTTCAAACCATACCTGCTAACGATTCTACTTGAATTTCCTCTTCCACTAAAAGCAGCCCACTCACTTTTCATGAATGTCCATTCCCACCACTAAGATTTGGTCTGTCATTCCTCTTGCTTCTGCCCACCCCACCTTCCTCTCTCCTGCAGCTCTTCTTTATAACTGGTTAGAAACCGTGATTTAAATCCTGGCTCAGCCGTTTTGTGACTGTAAGCTTTGGGAGAATTACTTATCTTTCCTGTACCTCAATTTTCTCATATGTAAGATGGGGGAAAATGCAGTACCTCTCTCGTCGGATTATTATGAAGATTTAATAAGATAATGTGTATAAAATGCCTACCATCTAATACGTGTCTTCAGAATGTTAACGAATGCTATTGTTAAGATTAAGATTATTTTCGTTAGTACTATTGCAGCATAGTTCCATGAAACAGTCTTACAGTATGAATCAGGAGACCTGCACTTGACTCTCAGCTCTCTCAAAACTAGCTTTGTGACGATGGTAAAGTAACCTTCCCTTTCTGGACTGCCATCTGTATTCTAACAATTTTTTTCTAATTCTGTGATTTATGTCTTCCTTTGAATTTCATAACATGCATGATATTACTCATGCAACAGCTGTCTACCTTGTGTTAGTAACGCTATTGTTTTAACATACGTGCTCTGTCTCCCTAACCTACCCAGGTGGCGTGGGTAGAGGCTGTGTATTGCATCCTTGGCACTTAACACGTCTCATAGAGCTGTCTTCAATAGCAGAAGCCAATGTTTATTAAGTGCTTGCTGTAACCAGGCACTCTGCATTCCTGATATCATTTATTATCCACGACAAGCTTGTGAGGATGGTGTTATTATTATCTCTGTCTTACATATGGGGAAACTGAGGCCCATATCGACTTGAGTAAATTGCTGAAAGTCATCCATCTCGTGGTGGCAGAGGCAAGCTTGGACTCTGTATGATCTGACTTTGGAGCCCGCCCGCTTTCTCTCTCTGCTCTTCAGTTTCCTTCGTGATGCCGTCTTCAATAAAGGTTTCTTATTGATGGCCTTGTTGGTGCCCTCACCCTTTAGCCCTTCAGTCCTACTTAGTTGACTTGCATGGAGTGGAGAAATCTGCCGGTGCAAAAATCTGCAACTGCCTGGGTCTGTAGCACGGTGACAACAAATGCACACTAAACAAAGGGTGTAGAGTGTACCAAACCCTCCTTGCTGTTCAAAGTGACGTCTAGAAAAGAGAGAGGCCCACTTGGTGCAAATGCAAATTTACTGTAACCCAGGAAGAGCTATTTTTGGCAATATCATTGGTATAAAGTTTTTATTATGTCCAGGTGGAAAGAAGACCGAGCATGCCTTTCTTTGGCAAATTTCTGGAAGGGTGCTGGAGACATCAAGAGTAACGAAGAGAAGGGGAGGGGGAGGAGATGAGGCAATAATTTAGCATTCATGATTTAGCATTCTGCCGAAAGCGAGAACTCATCCTCCTAAACACACCATGCACACATGCACATGCACACATGCAGGTTCACATGCACATACACTACCCATATACACATTCACACACCTGCCGACCACACACTAACTTGCATACACACTTGCCTTTCTGGATGGCCTTTGTCAAGCTGCTTAACTTCTCCAAGTCTCATTTCATCTTGAGCAATGAGAGTAATGATAATATCCTCTACGTTGGCTACTTGTGGGGTTTAAATGAGTGCCTTAGCACAGTGCCTGGTATGTGACTAGGACACAATAAATGCTGTACATTAAAAATCAGACCTCGGAACTGTTTATGGTAGAAGGTTTTAGTTGCTTGACATACAAAAAACTCTCGAAAAGTATTGGATTGGGGCCGCCAACATCTTACTTCTGCCTCTTTTAATGCCCTGTCAGTGTGCTCCACGCTCTAGGGGCTGAAATGTGCTCCTATCAGTCTGAAGCATTCTAGCCTTCACTTACATCTGTATTTTGACCTTTCTTGATCCCAGTTTAATGATGAATTAAAAAGACTCTTCAGATATGGGATACCTGGAATATTCTTGCTTCCTAGAAAGAACAGTGCAGGAAATACAGTGGATAGTGGTAATGTAAATTTCCTCTCCATCTTCTCCAAATCGAAAAATGATTTTTTTTTCATGAATCGTTCTTAGTTTCCGTATCTCCATGGAAGAATTTACGTATCTTACTAAATCACCAAATTAACATATCAACAAATCTAAAGCTATATCATAAACAGATCTGATCTGAATATATGCTTCAGCATTTCCTGTGTTATGGGCATAGACAGAGTGAAATAGGTCTTGCATATGCAAACATGATTGTTAGTGACCACGAAGCTCTGAAGAGCTGCCATTCTGCCCTGAAGAGACCTATTTCTTGACTTAGGATTCTGTGGGAAGTTAATATGATTCCAGGATCAAAGCTAAGGGTTACTGATTATTTTGGGTCAAGATGTTCTCTCTCTAGAAATCTGTATATAAATATGCTTAACAAAAGATCTCTAGAAAGTATCTGTAAAAGGGAGAGTTCAACTAGGTGATTTCTGAAGTCTTAGTTATTTCCAGTGTGTTAGGGGAAGCTTGAACAGCAGCGTGCACTAAGCACTGCATTAAGTATTTCCCTGCAACATCTTGTTTAATTCTCTCAACAGCCCTTGGAGGCAGGCATTTCATTTTACATATAAGATGACTGAGGCACTAGGGGGTGAGCAATTTACCGAAGGCCATTCATCTAGTAAGTAGCACAAATTCCAACCTGCACTTGTCTCCAAAGCCAATGAAAAAAAATACTATCACATATTTTTGCTATATTTCTACCAACCTTCCTAAAGTAGGAGAACTGTCCATTTTCCAATCAAAGAGACATTTTTCTCCAGGGTCTGCGGTTATCCTGTTAAGGCAAGACAATGTGACTCTTCTCTTACTGCTTTCTATAGATTTAAATATACTTTCACAAGTTCTCATTTACTAAAGTCACTTCCTTGTTACCACATGCATTTTTTTTTCCTTACCAGAAAATGGTGTTATTGATCCAGAAGGGCCTTCAGCTCTTTCACAAAGACTCAGCTCTGTATCCGCCAGAAAATTGCTTCCTTCCTTTTTTTCTTTTGGTGGCATCTATGCCAGCATAACCCTGAGTCTCTAGTGTGCAGTTGGAAGGATCCCAATCCTCTGGGAAGACAGCTGTTGTTTCTCTGGACAACCTGCGGTTAAAGGGACAGCGATTTATAAGACACAGTTTGGGGAGGAGGAAGGAAATGCAGGTGCAACCTCCTCTCGTGTTTCTGTGCCAAACAACGGCTAAGCCCCACCACGTTAGCCGATTATTCTCATCCATGGAGCTGATGATATCAAGATTCATACTACTCAAGTGAACTATGATCAGAGTCTCTTGACATGATCGTCAAGTCTCCCAGGACATTGGCATGCTCGATTATTGTGGCATTTACCAAGATCAAGGACATGTAGAGGTACATTGCAGCAAGAGTTAGGGATGACGTGACGATGGAGGACATGTTAGCACTCAAGGGAAGTTGTGTGCTGGTAAATGTTTAACAACTGGCCTTTTTGTTGAAAAAACAAAAAGCCCTGATTTGTAGTACAGTTGACCCTTGAACTATGCAGCGGTTTAGGGACACCAACCATCCAAGTGGTAGAAAATCCCTGTTTAATTTGTAGCTGGGGATCCCCCCTCCATTATCCATTGTTTCTCCACATGTGTGGTTCCACATTTACGGACTCAACCAACTGCAGATGGTATAGTATTGTAATGTTTACTATGGAAAAAAATCCAGGTTAAGTTGGTCTACGCAGTTCAAACCTGTGTTGTTCAACGATCAGCTGTATCTGCCAATTTCTACTGTGCAAATACTCCCATCATGACTGATTCCATGGCTGATTTTTTTACCCACCAGAGTGATGTCACTAAGCTGGGAACAAAGAGCTGGGAAGAGATGTATACAGTTGGCTCTGGTGAGCTGGAAATAGCCCACTCCAGCACAGCACTGCCAAGAATCTCCCTTCTTAACATAAAATGAATTTCTTGACAAGCTATTGTTCCTATTTTTATGTTTTATGTCTTTCTGTGCCAAGGGGTCTTTCTAAGTTTTAATGTAACAGGCTTGGTGATAGCCTGACAGAACATGATCCCAATTTTGTAAAACAATATGCAGATGAATAAAAAAAACTTTGAGAAAAATACACTAAAATATTAAGAATGATATGCATGGGCAGTTGGATTATGATTTTCATTTTTTCTTTATTTCTTTTCTTTTCATTTATTTCTTATACTTTCATTTTAATTTATTTCTTATATTTTCATTTTAATATATTTCTTATATTTTCTAGTACTATACATATTTTTGAATAAGCATCTACTGCTGTATTTCTATAATCAGAAAAATTTATAAATTATTTCTAGTGGGCATGAACTATACAGTTACAAACTCAGATATGTGGAAAATATAATTTTATTTCTCTGTAATGCTACTATTACTTTCATTCTTGAATTTCCATTTTGCTTAAGAACAGAACACTTGATGTAGTCACTGCTGACTACATCACTTTAGTATTTAAATTTGGCCAGTTCCTAGTCTAAACTCAGTCAATACCTTGAC